CTAACTTCCTAGGTGAGATCGAGCTTTGATGACTGCAGAGAGACCATCTACTGGGAAGGCGGGATCACCAGGAGCAGCCAGCGGTGAGAGGAAAAGAGACACAGCCTGCCAGTTCATTCCAAAGCACACATTTAAGCGACTAAACCAGGGCACCTCCACAGTTCCCAGTGTTTCTCAGTGCATTCATGCAGTCAGCATTCACCAGAAGGTACCACAGACCCAATATGTTGGAAGATGCAAGTTTTGAGTTTCTAACAGTTGATCCAAAACTGTGGTTTAGAGAGTGGCTTAGGTACCACAAGCATCAGGCGTCAGCATGGCTGAGGGCAAGAAGCCCTTTTGCGCCTCCAACTGAGGCAGCGAATTCTTCCGCCTCAGCCTGGAAGCCAGACTGGTGCAAGCTAATCATGAAATCACGGAGAACGTTCCCAGGCAAGCTCCCAAGGCCATGCGCTCTTGCCTGCTTGAACAGTTGCCTCCCTGCTGTGGAGTCCCTATGAACCCCTTACTATGTGGCTTCCAGACTGGCTCACCTCTGTGTTCCCCTCCACCTCCATCTTCCTGCACCTTAGGCTATTGCTTCCCTCTCACAGTGCTCTAGATTCCTCTGATCTACTCTCAGAATGGCAGATGTTCCTGAGGGTTCCATTTTCATCTTCGCAAATCTCTGGATGGCCCCGGGCAGAAGACTCTCACATTTCTATTGTTTAAGTGATCGCTACACTATCAGCTCAAATCTCCTTCCTCAAACCGTCACTCCTGCTTCCTGACATCTCCAGAGCATCACCTGTTCTCTTGTCTAAAGTGGAACTCTTCCCCTGCCCCCCCCCCCCCCCCGGACAAATGGAATCTGAGTTGCTCTCACCCTCACATCTGGATAAATCCACTGGTTCACGGCCCCTTTGAAGTTTTCATTTCTAACAAGGGTTCAGGTCTCTTCTGCTAATTTCTTCCCAGAGTGGTCACAGAAGCCTCCAGAGCCAGGATGGTGTTTTGTTGTCGAACTCAGCTGTGGTCTTTGACAGCCCTTCTAAAGTCCTCTTTCATCTCTTAAGACCTACAACAGGCAACACGCCCCATGGCCCGTGCACTCTGACATTCAACTATGCCATGTTTTGCAGACCTTCCCAGAATTCCATTGGGTGGTTTCGTTTTCCAGAGAGTCTCATGGGGTAGACCAGGATAGCTACAAACTCATATTCTTCCAGCCTGGGATGTCAGACATATGCTACCTTGCTCAGCTGCTCAGCTCCTTATTGGGCTGACAACTGTTCCTTAGACTTTCGTGGCTTTGTGCCATCATTTAATCTGGAGAAAATCTCCTCCTGGCCCTTCGGATCCTAGCAAGATTCTTCCAGTGCCAATTTATAAATCCTAGACTCCTGGTACTCTGACTGAGTTAACGATGCTTACCCTCTGTGTCCTCTGGGCCATCACTACATGACACTTGGTGTGCTGTAACAGTAAGCACCCCCCCCCAACACTAGAATACAAATGAGTTTTTCAGCAAGAACTGTAATTTAATTGTTGTTGTCTCCTTGGGGCCTAAGGCATGCTGAAACATGGCAGGCACTCAGAAGTGTCTAATTAACCTGGCATTAACAGTGAGGGACTATACAAGGCAGTTGGTACGCTATCCCCAAGTAAACATTAAGTCATGGTACTGGTTCAGAGCTATGAAGACTATCTTTAGGGACCGCCCTGGGGGTGAAGGCTGAATGGGTGAGAAGACAGTAGTATGGGAATAGATTTAAATACATGAAAACGTGGAAACACATGGGATGAACCATTAGGTTCTTGGTGAATTTTATCCCCAATAATTCTGTTGGAGCTTCAAAGCAGAAGTGCTCCTTCATACAATGCAGACAGCCTGAAAGAAAGGGGAGAGCTAAGATTAATAGCTAGCGGTCTGCCTTTGAAGGCATCTGATAGAAATCAAAAGAACTTGCCAAATTAGTCTAGTGAGCTGATTAAAATTCTCGACACTTCTCCAGCTTTGAATCTGGTCTTCTCTGCATATGTTGCATAAAATATCTTATATATCCATAAAACATGTAAAATTTAAATAGCATAAATAAAAGACCAGGATTTCTGGAGTCACTTATAAGTAAGTTTTATGCCCGGGGCGTATGGAATAGGGCTTCAGTCACAGGAGCCATTCATGGCGAAGGCTTTTTCCTTTCGACTGCGCTTCCTCTCTAGCACGCAGACTGACCTTCACAGAAAGTGTCTGCTCATTACTGAGCACTTGTGGCCAGGAGTGTTTCTATACAACAGAGGCAAGTCAGCTGTCCCTCAAGATCCTGGTGAGGCTTGGTTGGTTCTATCTATGAATACCCCAATCTATAGGTACTCAAGTCTCATATACACTGGCCTGGTATCTGCATATGAGCTACGCATAGCTATGCATGTAGATCATCTCTACATTACTTACAATACCCAACGAGGCATAAGCAGGATATAAACAGTGGTTATATCACATTACTTAGGTAATGACGACCCCAAAATAAGCTGCCTATTCTGTACAGAAGCAATTTCTTTCCTGGGTATTTTTGACCCATGGTTGGTTGAACGGGACAATGGGGAATCTGCAGACACAGGGAGCAGCTATCCTTTAGACTGCATGCTTCTGAAGTGGGGGTGGTGCATTCACTCATGCTTGACCCGAGGGTTGTAAGACACCCTCAGTTATGTTTGCCATGATAATCTATGAAGACAGAGATTCAAAGCAGAATGTGTAACCAGACAAAAAGAAGTATCTATGTTTCTTCCATAGAATAAAAGCTCGAAAACAAATCTCTTACCCCAGCACCAATGTTCTTGGAAAAGATCCAAGGTGAGGTCTACATCCCAGTGCAGTTTCGAGTTAGGCAACTCTGTGTTTCTCATAATTTCCACATTATGAAACAATATGAAGGCAAACTCAACCCTATTGATCCTTATTTAAATCGAATCAGTTCACATGATAGTCTTTCTTTCTTTGTGTGTGTGTGTGTGTGTGTGTGTGTGTGTGTGTGTGTGATGTTAGGTACGCTCCTCTCACTGAATCTGAAGCTAGGTTGTTTCAACAAGGCTGGTTGCCCACCTGGCTTGGGAGGTCTGCTCATATTTGTCCCCCAGTGCTGGGGTCACAGGCATATGTGGGCATGCCTGGATTTTTTTATGTGGGTCATAGGGATTGGAAGTTAGGCCCTTAGGTTTGTCGCCAGACAGTGGACAAGCTAAACGTTCCCAGGGGAGTTTGACATGCAGCAGATGCGGAACCATGTTGTCATCCCCCCGTGTCTGACTAGGCTATCCCATGGCAAAAAGGCTGTGCACACTTTGAGTCATCCGGAGGTCTGCCATGGTGGTGAGGACTAAGAACAGTAATGGCAGCTTGTCTACCAGAAAGATGAAGACGGGAATCCATCCCTGTGATGTCAGGAGAGAAAGATCAGCAAGCCGTGCCTTTCCTCCTCAGTCACCCGGAGTCGAACGAGTTCTCTGTTTAATTCCTTTCGCCCACCAGCATCCAGTGGTACTTAAACTTATGTAGACATCAGAATAACCTCGGGGGGGGGGGTTCTGGAAACTCCAGTTAGTTGGCCCCATTCCAGAGCTTCTGAGTCAGGGGGTCTAAAATGATGCTCAAGGCTCTATATGGCGGACATCTTCTCGGTGGTGGTAATAAGGACCACGGCCACCACTGTTGCTTGAGATGCAACCATGGACTCTTTGATTGAAACACCCTGAAAAGACTTCGAAAGCACAGGTTCATATCCTTAGCACCTGCAGAATGGAAATCATCCTGCCAAACTTTACCTCTTCCCAAGCAAGGCTCGTGAGCTCAAAACTTCAAGCATTGTGCTTTAGAAAAGTCTTATTTAGGGTCTGTCCTACCTCCATGAACTATGGCAAGCAAGGAGCTCTCTGCCTAGGCCCACACTCAGCAAGAAGAAGCTGAGAGCTGACATGTTCTCGCCAGTCCCTAGTCCTGACTGGTTATGCTGAAGGCCACAGCAGGAGAGCAGAGTCTTACAGGACTGCCAGTCTCAGAGAACCAGCCCATTACGTCATCTTTTAGGCAGCCAAGTCTGGTCTTTTTTGCACCTAGCTCCCTTTGGACTAGCCTGGAGCCAGAAAAGGCCTTCCATAGGTGCAAAGCTCTTGCGAGCTATTTTGAAGAGCTCTGTCATGAAACCAGGTGACAGCCATGTTGTTGAACTCCATTGATAATTTCTATCACAGCTTATATCCCTTCAATCACAACGAAACAGACTTTATACTTGAGACCAAAAGTCAACACCTTCTAACTGACTGGTGTCTATCTTGAGACCAGAGGAAGTGGGAAGTAAAAATGAATGAAATTCATATATAAGTGTATAAAACCGTAAACAATAATAAGAAGTTATAACGGCAAACAGCATACATAAAGCAACCTAAATGCATGCACGCTAATTAATTAAAGCAATCAAAGGAGATGATGATAGGGCTGAGATGTTCCTTATCCCAGGATACAGCCACTTCCAACACCCACATCAAGCCCGTTCTAAGACTGACCCAGCCAGGGTCACTGCAGTGCCAGGTCTTCCCCAGTCCCAATCTCATTGCTTTGAGCCCCAGAGCCATAGAAGGAAAGCCAGGCCAATGTCACAATCATGAGAACTAGGTTCAGCAAAGAAAAACTGGAAACCCTCCATAAGCCAGCTCCAAGTAGAACCAACACCCCAGTGGAAATTTCTAGACCCTGAGCTAGGAGCCAGGTAGAATCTGTAGCAGCTGGTGAGCTGCTTCTATTTGGAGCAAATCTGTATCTCCTGAGTCTCTATAACTGTGTTTTTCTAAGTTTGAGGTTTTTTTCTTACAGCCAACATGCTAGACTTGGGCAAATCTGTTCATCCGCTCGAAGATGTTCTAAAATTATAAAGCTGAATTGACGCCTGCTTGCTCAACATCCCCCCCCCCCCCAGCTGCGTCAGAGGCCCGGCAGTGGCTTGGGAGGCTCGCAGTGCCTTTACCTGAGCTGGTGGAGGCCGGGGACTTGCTTCGCCTGGAAGGTCCTGGGCTCTTAGTTGTGCCTCTGCGGGACGACGATGCTATTTTGGTGTAAGAAGTGGATTTCACCACACGACATTCTGGGGAAAGAATGAGAAGACACGTGAGGTTTGGGAAACAGACACTCTAAGCCTCCAAATTTCAAGCCTCCAAACTTACCTAACTTACAATAGTACTATGAATCACTTTGAATAGGCTGATAAAGGGGTGCTTTTATTGGGGCTCTCTCCATGGACCTTTTCAGTTATTGGTGGTTTTGTAAATTTACCTACCATGAGTTCTTTCTTCCAAGAAAAACGTTAGAAGGAAAGGTCACTTTTACAAAGCAAGAAGTGTGATGGAAGATTCCACCCACTTGCCAGACCCAGTGTTGGTTCTGGGGTCCTTACTGGGGTAATTGTGCACCTAGGATGTGTGGGAACTCTATGTGGGTAGCCCTGGAAACCGGGTGTCATCGTCCTGCTTACAAGGAAATGATGACCTTCAGCCCATCACCGAGGGAACCTGCTGCAGAGCTTGCTTTGTGTCTACAATTTGTCCAACCGTGGGGATAAAAAAAACAATCTCTTCTATTTTTAAGTTTCCAGTTTTCATGCTCATTAAATTCAGTGCTACGTATTGGAAATAATGAAGAATTTCCTATTTTCCTCTCAGTGAACTGTCTGGATTAATTATGACATGCAAATATGCACTATCTTGCTCTAAAGAATGCACCCTTGATAATTAAAGCCTGTGTTTTTGAAATGATAATCAATTAGATAGAAAAATGTAAAATATATTAAGAATACTTGATAACTCATGATCAAATGACGCCTTAGTTTTGAAAGTGCTAGAATATTTTTCTTTTTTCTTTATTTATTAAAGATTTCTGTCTCTTCCCCTCCCCTTCCCCCAATCAAGTCCCCCTCCCTCGTCAGCCCAAAGAGCAATCAGGGTTCCCTGCCCTATGGGAAGTCCAAGGACCACCCACCTCCATCCAGGTCTAGTAAGGTGAGCATCCACGAAACTGCCTAGGCTCCCACGAAACCAATAGGTCCAGTAGAATCAAAAACCCGTTGCCATTGTTCTTGAGGTCTCAGTAGTCCTCCTTGTCCGCTATGTTCAGCGAGACCAGTTTTGACCCAGGCTTTTTCAGACCCAGGCCAGCTGGCCTTGGTGAGTTCCTGATAGAACATCCCCATTGTCTCAGTGTATGGGTGCACCCCTCGCGGTCCTGAGTTCCTTGCTTGTGCTCTCTCTCCTTCTGCTCCTGATTTGGACCTTGAGATTTCAGTCCGGTGCTCCAATGTGGGTCTCTGTCTCTGTCTCCTTTCATCGCCTGATGAAGTTTAATATTCAGGAGGATGCCTATATGATTTTCTTTGGGTTCTCCTTCTTATTTAGCTTCTCTAAGAACCCGAATTATAGGTTCAATGTCCTTTATTTATGGCTAGAAACCAAATATGAGTGAGAACATCCCATGTTCCTCTTTTTGGGTCTGGCTTACCTCACTCAGGATGGTGTTTTCTATTTCCATCCATTTGCCTGCAAACTTCAAGAAGTCCTTGTTTTTTACTGCTGAGTAGTACTCTAATATGTATATATTCCATACTTTCTTCATCCATTCTTCAATTGAAGGGCATCTAGGTTGTTTCCAGGTTCTGGCTATTACAAACAATGCTGCTATAAACATAGTAGAGCATATACTTTTGTTGTGTGATAAGGCCTCTCTTGGGTATATTCCCAAGAGTGGTATTGCTGGGTCCATGGGTAGGTTGATCCCAAATTTCCTGAGAAACCTCCACACTGCTTTCCAGAGTGGTTGCACAAGTTTGCATTCCCACCAGCAATGGATGAGTGTACCCCTTTCTCCACAACCTCTCCAGCAAAGGCTATCATTGGTGTTTTTGATTTTCGCCATTCTGACAGGTGTAAGATGGTATCTTAAAGTTGTCTTGATTTGCATTTCCCTGATCGCTAAGGAAGTTGAGCATGACCTTAGGTGTCTTTTGGCCATTTGAACTTCTTCTGTTGAGAGATCTCTGTTCAACTCAGTGCCCCATTTTATAATTGGGTTGATTAGCCTTTTACGGTCTAGTTTCTTGAGTTCTTTATATATTTTGGAGATCAGACCTTTGTCAGTTGTGGGGTTGGTGAAGATCTTCTCCCAGTCAGTGGGTTGCCTTTCTGTCTTAGCAACAGTGTCCTTTGCTTTACAGAAGCTTCTCAGTCTCAGGAGGTCCCATTTATTCAATGAGGCCCTTACTGTCTGTGCTGCTGGGGTTATACGTAGGAAGTGGTCTCCTGTGCCCACGTGTTGTAGAGTACTTCCCACTTTCTCTTCAATCAGGTTCAGTGTGTTTGGACTGATATTGAGGTCTTTCACCCACTTGGACTTGAGTTTTGTGCATGGTGATAGATATGGGTCTATTTTCATTCTTCTACAGATTGACATCCAGTTTTGCCAGCACAATTTGTTGAAGATGCTCTCTTTTTTCCATTGTATACTTTTAGCTCCTTTATCGAAAATCAGGTGTTCATATGTTTGTGGGTTAAAGTCAGGGTCTTCTATTCGATTCCATTGGTCGACTTCTCTGTTTTTATGCCAATACCAAGCTGTTTTCAATACTGTAGCTCTGTAATAGAGTTTGAAGTCAGGGATGGTAATGCCTCCAGACGTTCCTTTATTGTATAAGATTGTTTTGGCTATCCTGGGTTTTTTGTTTTTCCATATAAAGTTGATTATTGTCTTCTCCAGATCTGTGAAGAATTTTGATGGGATTTTGATGGGGATTGCATTGAATCTATAGATTGCTTTTGGTAGAATTGCCATTTTTACTATGTTGATCCTCCCAATCCAAGAGCAAGGGAGATCCTTCCATTTTCTGGTGTCCTCTTCTATTTCTTTCTTCAAAGACTTAAAGTTCTTGTCAAATAGATCTTTCACTTCCTTGGTCAGGGTTACCCCAAGATATTTTATGCTCTTTGTGGCTATCGTGAAAGGTGATGCTTCTCTGATTTCCCTTTCTGTTTCATTTTCCTTAGTGTATAGGAAGGCAACTGATTTTTTGGAGTTGATCTTGTATCCTGCCACATTACTAAAGGTGTTTATCAGCTGTAGGAGTTCTTTGGTAGAGTTTTTGGGGTTAGAATATTTTTCTACTCATTTATATTTTTTAATTAACAATGGAGTTAATCTACATATTGGCCTGTAGCCAGCCCTTTTCTCACTTCAATAATGGTTAATTTTTTTGTCACCTTGACACAAGCTAGAATCATCTAGGAAGAGCAAACTTCAGAAAATGCCTCTGCTGATTGTCCTGAGGGCAAGTCTATGGTACATCTTCTTGATGGATGATTGATGTGGGAAGGTGTAGCCCACGGTGGACAGCGCCACCTCTGGTCTTAAGTGGTATAAAAAAAGCAAGCTGGGCAAGCCACCAGGAGCAAACTAGTAAACAACACTTCTCTATGGTCTCAGCTTCAGTTCCTACCTCCAGGTTCCTGGCCTCCTTGATCTCCTGCCTTAGCCTCCCTCAATGATGGGATGAATGGGATGAATAAACCTTTTCTTCTCCAAGTTGCAGTTGGTCTTGGCCTTTATCACAGTTACAGAGAGCAAGCTAATTCGTGGGCATTTTTAGCTGTCAAGCATCTTACTATATAGAATATTCCAGCTCACTTAATCATTTAAACTTTGAATTAAATGCTTTCAGCATTTTTGTTACTGTAATAACTTAGTAGCACCCTAGAAAATGAGCATTTAGTTAGCCAATCATTTACTTCATAAATATTTCGTCCTTGAAATTCAACTTTTAGTGACTAGAAGAACACATTGGAAGGGCTCAAAAATATTTGCTGAGTGAGTGAATTTGATAAATTGGAAGATAAGTAACCTCTCTTAAATGTCTTCTTAAAAGACTGCTTTTATGTGTTTGTGTGTGTGTACCTGCTTGCCGGTATGTGCACCACATGCCTGCAGTACCCGTGGAGGCCAGAAGAGGTAACTGGATCTCTTGGATCTGGAGTTACCAGTGGTTGTGATCTGTCATGTGGGTGCTGGGAACTCGATTCTGAACTGCTGAGCCATCTCCCCAGTTCCCATAAGTTCTTAGAAGCTCTGGTCCTCAGCTGTCTCACACAAATCATGCTTATATTAGCCATGGTCACTTTCCTGAGATCTTCTTGTGGTTGTGCATCATCTTACAATCCCCTTTGGGAAAATTTCTGAACAAAATTAAGCTATCATTGCTGAAAACCTGAAGTGGTTTTATTGCTGGTGATGCTGCAGATTTTGTTTTGCACATATACCCATCATTTGTACTTCTTCTTTTGCAATGACTTATCAATGGCCTCTGCTTTCCTGAGATTGAGAGACTCTCTTTTTAGCTTGCATGAATACATGTTATATATCAAAATTTTATTCTTTAGCTTATTATGAATAAAATGATGTTAGTAACATTTCTCTTTGCTGCCAGCTGTTGAAATATGTTAACCTTTCAAATGTTTTCATGAGTAGTAGTTAAAAATTGAAGAATGGGTCTGGGGGATGCCTAGTAGTCTCAAGATTCTGGGTTTAATCTTTAGGAGCACATGTCTACCCACACATACACATATACACATCTCTATCCTGTTCATTTTTATTATACCTTTTTAAAAGTTAAGAATTCACAATTCCAAGTTACTGGAATTGTGGTCTGGATTCACAACCACTGATGCCCGGCTTCATGTTGAAATTATACTTCCCTATGTATGAAATTCATCATTTTTTAAGTTCAAAATATGTTTCTTTACCTGATCTACTTTGAGCAAGGTGGTTGCCATCGCCTGGTAAAGGAGAAACAGGTGTGCATAAGAAACATCAGTGCCGCGAGACTAAAAACAATAGCTAGGACACAGAGAAGAGCCTCGTACACCGAACGGAGGCAGAGAAGAGGAAAGATTTAGTGGGAAGGAAGAAGGAAGAAGAGAAGGGAAAAGAGGAGGGAGGAAGCAGCAAGGCGGAAGAGGAGAAGAAGGAAGAACCCTGCCTTGAGGTATGAGTATGTGTGGTCTCTTCTGAATTTTCTTCATAGTAAAAAAGAACAGAGAAAGGAATCAA